CTCCCCAAGCCCCAAATCATCTTTCCCCTCTCATCTGAACCTACTGACAGGTCGATCTCCCAGTGGAAATGTGGTGTCTAGACTTGTACACAGCATTCCAGATGTGGCCTCACCAGTGCTGAGTACAGATGAATAATAACTTCCTATGTCCGTGCAATGACCCTTCTTCTGAAGCTGCCCACGACTGGCTTAGCCCTTCCAGTGTTTGTCTCATGCCCTGCTTATTAAAGGCCTCACCCAAGTCCTTCTCTGAGGTAGTGCTTCACTCCCAACTTTTAATTCTAAATGACCCTCAAGTCCACCCCCTATTTTTCATGTGGAAGTGTCTTCTGGACAATATCCTCCCACTGCGGCAGTGTTTTTAAAACTTGGCCACTTTAAGATGAGTGGATGTCAACTCCCAGCTGGCTGGGGGATTCTGGGAGTTGAAGTCCACACATCTTAAAGTGGCCAAGTTTGAAAAACACTGCACTACGGTTTCCATCACCAACCTCTCTCTTGCCTCACCTGTTTCTGTTCTGACTCATGCCAAGACGGTGTTTTGCACACACAGCTGTGCTGCACATATCTCAAAAACGATTTGGAAAAAGTGCTACGGACCTGCCCTTGTGGGGTCCCAGCCCTGCGTTGCTGCTTGTTAAAAGAGCCTGACACATTTCCGGCTTTCACCTTTTCGTGGCTCCTGGAGAAACCTGGAAAATGAGAGGCTGGTTGAATGTAGAGGAAAGAAAAGCCGAGTTCACGCAGGGGCTGAAGTTCCTCCAATTTATTTCCAGATCCTTTTCAGAGGATCACAAAGCTGGAGGGGGACCCGAGGCCCTCGGCTCCTCTTCACAAGTACGGCTGCTGAGACAAGGACCTTCATCTTCTCCTTAGTCATTTGCTTTCTGTTTTCCTAACCCAAAGCCCTGCAGTTCGCCAGGTTTCATTCCGCTACTTTCAGCTCAGTTCTCCAGCCTCTCAAGACAGTTCTGAACTTGCTCTCTGTCTTCTAGAACATCAGCTCTCCCACCCAAGCCGTTCATGGAAACATTGAAGAGTAGAGGACCCCGGATGGCCACGACACCTCTCCAGCGTGATGAGCTCCCATGGATGAGCACTCTCGGAGCCAGGGATCTATCTCCTTAGTCCTCGTGCCTTGCAGCCCACAAAAAACAGGCGCGCAAAACAGAATGTCACGGGGTACTTTGTCAAATGCTTTGCTGAAACCGAGATATTTTATCTACAACAATTTCACAATCTTTTAAGGGTGCAATCTGATGAAAACATGAGATACGATAAGTCATCAAGATTAGTTCCTGACAAATCTACCCTGACTTCTTGTAATTATTATGCTGTTTTCTAAGTTCCTCTCTTTATGGCCAGCTCTAGAATCTTCCCCACTGTTGACATTTCACAGAAACCATTTTTAAAACGCTGAGGCCCGACTTCCAGGGAAGAAGTGGCAAGCTGAAGACAGCGGAGCTGACAACCGCAGTGAAATTAAGAGCCAGTGAGTGGACCGGTTCTTCGTAATTCCTCTTTGGACAAGGAGAGGACTTGAGATTGCCCACAAGTGCTTTAGACGGTTATCCTCACGAGGAGACCGCAAGACAACTGTCTCTGGCGGGTTTAGAGCTCCGTGAGACGAGGGAATAACCATCTTGCTTGAACTGTGGTTGGTGCCTTTAAAAGGACACTCGGTTCGCACACTTCCTTTTCTAATCACTTTTGGAAATTGCTTGTTAACTGCTTGTCAGCTGTTAGGAACCTTTGGATCAACAGGTTTTACTGCATCAGGTGAGTTCCCTTCAATCCTTAGCAAAAGAAGTTTTAAATACAAGTTTAAGGACTTAAAAAATATATGTATATTTTTTTGGAATAAACAGCAAAAGGGTGATTAGAACACAGGGGTGAGAGTCCCCATTTATCTACTCATGTAAGTTTTCAAGCTGCTGGGTTGGCAGGAGCTCGCTCTGCTGCGCGGAGCTGGGCTCGAACCGCTGAAGTGTCGACCATTTCTGGCCGGCAACTGCCGGCGTCATTAAGCCACTGCGCCGCCGCGTCCCTATG